AGAGCTAATCAACGTCATTGGAATATCAGGTATCTCAAACTTGAAACTAACTCTCAGAATATATAGATTAAAAGCAATTGTAACCAGGAATCAAGACTATCTAAACATGCTTACAGAAAAGATGTCTGTAGAAATAAAAACTAAAAATACTGTATAGTAATTACAAAGTGTTGAGATGTTTCTACTAGATTTCACACATATATAGCCTTACCTAAGCTTAAATTCAGTGTTGATATGCGTGTAACTTCTATATTAGGTCATTATGCTTTAGAATGAATGTATGGAAGTTTTTTCTGTATTACTCTAGCACAGTTAAGGCAACTTGTGAGAACCAAGACTGTAAAAGACAGCTCTTCTTGAAAAAGGGGTAGATGCAACATTTTGGGAAAGGAAAGTACTGATGAAATGTATTTATGACATATCTTAGGCATCTTAATTAACTTGTGGTAGTATAAACATGCTGAAGAAATTAGGCTATGGTACTTTAAAGAAAAATTAAAAACTGGATAGTCCAGAAGACCTAATTTCTATGAGTATGTAACATTTACTGAAGTTACTTGTAATTAGTAATATTTTTCACTAAATAGTGTACATAATGAAAAACCTTAGTCAAGCTTCAGTTAAATTCCTGTTCTTCACTTGCTTAAATATTTTGGTCTAATACTTTATTATCTAAGTCTTTCAATTCAGTGGCCTGCTTTAATTCAGAACAGGGTGCTTTTAATCAGGTGATAAAGCTGAACCTGAAAACATTTTGTTATGCTCTTTGAAGTTTGATGCTCTGGAGTATGATTTTGATTCTGACAGCTCAACTTTTCCTGCCTACCTTATGCCATCATGAAAACTTTCAAACAATATTTGGTTTTATAGTGTAAGCCCTGTCCCTGTCTAAATACAAATTATTAGTTTAACAGTGACTGAAAGTCGTTCCTGAGGGCGTAAGCCATAATGTTGCTAATCAAGGATCTTGTAATAAAAGGTCTCCTATAATAAAAAGTGCAGTACAGAAAGATACATGTAGAAAATCATGCTGCTTTTTTTTTTTTTTTTTTTAAACTACTCTGTGAAAAAGATGCTAAAATGGAAATGCTGACAGAGGTAGTGAAAGACTCCTCTCCTAGAGCTATTCTCCATTCTACTACAGATTGCATCTTTCTAGGATAGTTTAGCAAGAAGCAAAAATTCACATGTGGGGTTTCTTCACAGAAGTAGTTCTGTATATTCAACATCTATAGTGAAGATAAGGCTTGTCCTCTAGCGATTAAAGATTTAAAAAAGAGAAAAAGAAAAATCCAGTTTTATTCTATCATACGGCCTGTTTTCACCAAACTAACAGCATCAAGGAGAGAGAAAGAAAGCACCTAATGTATTGGATATGCAAAAGACCTGCTGGGTAGAAATAGCAGGTGCTAAAACTGATAGGGAGGTTTATGTGAGATCTGAGGCCTTCAAGGAATATGTTTGGTAGGGGTCTGCCAAAGAGTCTGTGGGGAACAGAGCAGAGTAAATTAGAACATATTTGAACCTTTTGAAAATTGGGGTAATGCAGGTCCAATAACTACGCCAAAGTAGGAAAAAAAATCTAAATCACTTAATATTACTTCTGTTGTCCTCCCCTTCTGTTTCTTTCTGAATTCAGGAAATACACTAAATCTTTAAACTTTATTTTTTTCCAACTTAAAAAAATATCTTTATTACCATACTGGTAAAAATCTGTTGTAATTTACAATTTACTAGAAGAAATAAGAAATTGATATATAGGCTTGAGAGAAGTAATAGTATGCAGAAGTGTTTGCCCTTGGGAAATAGTTGCTCAGATGGAACATGGCCATTTTGAGTCCCAGAAGCACATTTTCATGACCCACGCTGTCTGGGTTTCCATCAGAGAGCTCAAGCTGCCAAAGGATGCCACTCCAGCACTTAAAAGGATTGCACTTAGTCCAGGGTGTGATATCTGGCAAGTTGAATATATCCAACTGTACATTCAGATCAATGTATTTGTCGTGTTACTCTTTCAATTTATTTTTCTGTTTGTCTCCCTTAGAACTAGTAACAACTTTAAAAAATTTATTAAAAAAAAAATTCTCTGTAATTTAGATGTGTCTTCTTTTATATCTGAAGTATAAAACAATGAGCAGTAAAGATTTTGTTCTATACTTTCACTGTTAATACACAAATTAACTTATGGAAGCAATTCGGTATCTTAATAATTGAGCAGGGTTTATTGTATAATAAAGTTGGGTCCACTTACCTTTCTTGTACCTTTTTGAACCAATAAAATGTGTAGCAGTGATGAGGAACATTAAAACAACCTAAAATGCATCATGAATTTTCACCATACCTTACTGTGAGTTTTTTAAGCCTTGTACGCTCAATACAGTGAGGGCATAAAATTGGTCTTTGAAGGGAACAAACCTACATTTGCAAAGGACTGAGTTAGGTTAGCTGCCCTTTTCCAGGTCTGCTTTTTCATGTACTTTAAGACAGATAGAAGATGATGCACCACAGTGCCAGCTTAACTCAGAAGGACTCCTTTTGCAAGCTATGGGGATGTCCACAGTAAGGAACAGTACTTGCTTTGGACATCGAGTGTGATATATGTGCATAGTGACACCTCTGATTATCAGTTCTCCCTCTAGGTCTATGTAAACAATAGAATAGAATTTAACTAAATAAAAAACTGCCACTATGAAAACATTGAAGCCATCAAAGTACTAAACAATTTCTTGTAATTTTTACAAATAACACCAATTAGTTATAAAAAAAATTGAACTGGCTTCTTGAACTCCAGCATCTAGTCTTAACTTTTCATTCTTACAGTTGCTATGCTGACCAATATGTAACTTTCTCCTTTTAAAATTGATTTATGGAGTTGTGAAATGAATTTTACAAAAGCAAAATATGGGGAAAATAGTATCTTCCTATGTAAATTGAAGTAGTATAACAAGAAATGTTTACGGTAGACATTTTTCAAATAGGTATCACTTTGGCTTAAATTTTTTAAAATTAATTTTCTACCAGTAATTAGTAAAGACTTGGTAATAAAAAGTAAGATTTCAGAACAGTTTCAATAACATCTGTCATTCCAAAAGACAAATAGCAGTTAGTGTTCTGGGGTCTTTCTGTAGGTAACTAAACCAGCATATTATTCTTATGGATAATTCTGTACTTTGGCATCTGAAGACAGAGTATCTGTGGCTCAATGTTCCATAACAACAAATGTTCTGAAGAGAGATAAAGAAAAGAGGTTTCTCGGCTAGCCACTTTAGAGGCAGTTTTTAAGGAAAAGTTATCTTTTCATTTATATAAGAGGGCAGTTTAATAACTTTATAGAAATGAATCAAAAGGATTTTCTATAAAACAGTAGCTGGTAAGTCTGCATTGCTACTGGCTGAATCCCTTTTAGGATTATACTACCTATGAAATACAGAGTAGTTGTGTATTTATAATGTTACATTTACCCCCCTTCATTTTTTTAAATTCATGTCTTTAGCATTACATGCAAGGTAGATCTCATTAGCTTGTGAAGTAGCTGCCGATGACAAAATAAAGAGCAAAACTACCAATCTGTACATCCAATTGAAAACGAAAGAATATACAGTCTGATCGCTAAGTTCATTCATACTAAAAAGCAGGTGTAAGTATGTCTGAGATAGGACAGAAGCAATGACCAGATACGATTTTTGATCTTAATCAATCCTGTCCCTATAGTATGGATTACAGATGCCTTGTTTTGTTGTTTTTTTTTTTTCCCAAAATGTGAACTTCTAAGTACCAAGGTTCACAGATTTCTAAACAATAATTTTGAATCTCTTTTATACATTGGAGGTAAATTAATAGAAATAGATTTTGTTCTCTTAGGGCTTAACTCTTCAAGGTGCTGTTACTCCTAAGAGATGTTTGCTCCTGAACTGAATAGTTTTCAATAGGATCTTCAGAGTAATTAATGCTTGACAGAGCTTTCGGCTTCTTGCAGAAGGTTTCCAGGTAGTCCTTAGTACAAGCTAGAACTAGTTCCTTCTAGCTCCTATTTGGTAGACTCTTGCATTAAAGCTGTGCAAAACATAAAACCTCAGTTTTTCACCATGCCTAGCAGGGCAGGCTGGAGGAGCGACATGCAATATGGAGTAAAGCAATACTCAAGTGTTAAAACTTCACCAAGGTTCTTATTAATCCTGCACAACACAAAAATAACTCAAGGAAGCTGTGTATATGCATATAAAGGAATCATTTGATGTTAATCCTTAAACATGGTTTCCACTAACCCAAATCCTGTTTGCTTTGACTTTGGAAAGGACAAATCAGGATTTGTGCCGTAATGAAGTTTTCTGCATTTTGAAATATTAGTATATTTAGCATTTCTCTTTTTACGTTACCTGGTTTAAAAAAGAATTTTGCAAGAGAAGGTTTATATTAAATTACTCATATCTCTAGCTTATTCTCCTAAGATTCTGCAAAAGACTTTTCTATGTATTTGGATGACAGTATATGAGAATACACTATGTCATTTTTTTAATAAATAGCAGAATATTTATTTTCTGATTGCAATCATATTAGACACATAAAAAGCAAAATAGTTTACTTTCAGTATCCTTCTTTCAGATGCACAAAGTAAATTGCAATTTTTTTCATAAAATGCTTTTTACATATTTCGCACTAGTGCCCTTTAATATCTATATCAATATAAATATTGTTTTCTTTTTATTAGACTTCATAAATATATTGACATATCTGTAACACTAAACATGAAGCTTCCAATGCAAGAGTTTGTACATAGTCCATATCCAAATGTCACCATTATTTCATTTAAAAGATCCCAGCATGTCTACCTCATGATCCTTATGAACTCTATAGTACTGAAATACGTCAACACTTTTTCTTGCTACATTCATTAAAATTAAGCACCCTTACCCTACCCCATCTGTAAACATCAAGTCAATTGGCAGCTAGCACATTTCCCAGTCAGCAAGCAGTATTGTGAATTTTATCTTCTCTTGCAGAAATCAATTCGTCTTCGTTGCAGCAGATGAAATTTCTTGTAACACCTCTGCAGGTAACAATCATTGATACTTCTTGATGCATCCATCCAGGTCTCAATATCCTTTTTCACATGCTGCATTTAATCGTAAGAGAAAGCATAGGAAAGTCCATAGTATAAATCTTTGGAATAGTTTAATTAATTTATAGCTTCCGCCTATAGGTTCTGCCATATAAAAGACATTAGGTTATTTTGCTGACTTTGGTGTTTTATTTCCAGTTTAAATATCATATGGCCTAGTAAGTAAGGATATGTTGAACTTAATAAAAACTTACTGTGCAGTACAATCAAGACTGACTTTCAAAAAGCCAAAACAAACAGAACTAATGAAAAGAGTAAAGGCTTAGATGTATGTAGGACATTGTAAGTGCTATAGATTTAACAATTTTCTTTTCAACTCTTTGGGGGCAAATATTGCCCACAAGGGTACTGCAGACCCTAAAGCACTCACAAAGTCTATCCTATGGATAAGATAGTGGGAGAGAGGGTCTGTGTCTTCAAAGGATCGCTCGCTAGTAAGTAAGAAGTCTTAGCTGCTTTGCTAATATACTATCATGTTGTAAGCCATGGGTACAGAAGAATGAACAATGGTTTTAAAAGGTAATAGTAATTCATAAATATATTGAATATGTCAAGGGATTTTCTCATTTTAAAGCAATAGAGTTTGAACAGTCTTAGTCTTAATTCAGGTAAGGATGATATTATGTCACTACATAAGAAACCAAAAGCCAAAACAAATAGTAACAGTGCCGGGACATATTCTGCCGATAATGTTATGCAAAAAATCTACTGAGTTCATAGAAGCTGCTTGTATTGAAGGATGAAAAGGTATATAGTGTGACACAAAATGTTTATTTATAGAGTTTTACAGTAGCAGAAATAAATGAAAGGTGAAGAGTTTTCTGTTTGTGCCATAGTGACCTACATAGAAACAAACAAGGCACATTTATTTATGAAAAAGAAAACCACAGCTAAAGCCAAAATATGCTAACATTGTAATAATCTGTATTCTAGCTATAGCATTTTTGATGGTAATCTGAAAAGTTCTTCTGTAATAAAACCTAATTTAACACTGATTTTTCAAAGTCCTAAATCATTAAAAGAATATATTTTGAGAAGTCAACATTTGACACTTTCTTGCTATCACTAGACTTGGATTTTGGTTTTCATTATTTCACACGTGCTTCCTGCTCAGCTCTGGATTAGAGTGAGCTGTAGTAGGGAGGCTACTAATTTATAAATCCTAGGCCTTGCTAAATAAGAATAAATATAATTATTTTAGCAATTTTAAAACTTGGAATTATTGAGAGAGACTTAGGGTCTTTAATATTTTTTCTTGTCCTGAAACTAATTTCCTGTTTTGCAGAGTGAACATTACTAAGCAATAATTCTTTCTCTAATAAAGACATTTTTTTGCCCCCCTCAATTCAGGCACAATTTAAATGTCCAAGACCGTGTTATACATATTTCGTATAACACTATTTTGGAATTCCAGTCAAAAATACAGCACTCTCATTTATCAGTAAATTCACACAGAATTGTGTGATAATTGAATTTATCAATAACTTCACACAGAGCAAAATGGATCTCTGTGTGTATTTATTAAAACTTTTCAGTTTACCAGTTGATTACCTCTGTTGAATTGATTCAACAATAAGGTATTTTTGTTAGGTGTGTTTCTGACCATATGATAAACGTATCCATCATAGGTGACTGTAGGTGCCTTTTTTGTAATATGATCTGAAGGAGAAAGCTAATGAAAGCCTGTATCTTCTGTTTTTTGTAAATCTAAGTTTTAGTCATGGAATTTAAAGGACTTTTGGCTTTTTTAAAAAATAATTATCTGGCCCCTATTCCTGTAGTGCAAGTTGCCAGTTGCATTTGTTCTTTCAAATCTGTAAGTTGGTTTTCAACTAATTTATTATCTGATGTTTTATGTTTAATACATGGATCATGTATAGAGATATATAAACTTTTAGAACTGAAGCTAAACTTTCTGTGGTTTTTCAGATGCATGCAAAATACCTACAGTACAATTTTATAGTGCTTTTTTTTAGTGTTCCTAAATTCAATTACAGTAATTCAACTGCGTTTGTAAAATTGATATAAAGTGAAGATACTGGTAATATGCTCAATGTTTGAAATGTGAGTATATGTATGTTTGTATTGTTCCCTTGTAAAGAATGTGTGTGGTTGTAGATTTCAAATCATAATACAACAAGTAAACTTTTGGTCGAAACTTTATTATCAAATGGAAATGGAAGTTCTTGGGTGATTCTGCTGGTAGTATTCACTCTTCTCTTCCTAACACTTTATCATCCCTGCCAGAGGATACTTAGCCCTCAGCCACATGCTATCTTTTCTGATTTGGGAATAAAGTAATCTTGAATAAATAAATGTGTTAATGAACAGATAGTGTGTCCATACGCACATTTCTATTTATGTATGTCTATCTGTTCTTGTATGAACATTATATAAAGAAAACCTATTCAAGTATCTGACAGACAGATCCTTCCGTGGGAAATTTAAAAATATTCCACTCTTGATTGCATCCAGTGCATTCTGAGGCTAAAAATAATTACTCTTCAGAAGAGAAGTTCTGTGCTTCTGGGATAGATCTTCTCTGGCAGGCATGATTAAAGAGGTTGCAAACAGACCTGAACTACCACAGAGGTAGGGAAACTATCGGAAACCTCCTATCAGTTTGATGATGGAATTTTAACAAGGATCTCTAAAGATTTTCCTCTAGCAAATCTCTGACAGTAGTTACATTAGGGGAGAATTAATCCTGAGGTTCCTGGCTGATGGGGGCAATGGGCATCATGCCCTATCAGGCTCTTAATAAATCACAGTGACACCCAGAATAAATCCATGGTTTATTTACATGTTGGTTACAGAACATTGTTCATTTTAAATCTTTAGCATTTTTAGTGAATTCTTCAAATCAGTGCTCAATATATTGTTTTTTCTTTTAGGTTTTGTAAGATTGAAATCCATAGTTTGTAAAGAAAAAAAATACTTTGTAGTGTCTTTTCCAAATGCATTCTCGGAGGTACCTGCATATTGCATTTTATGATTTTTGTGTAAATATGGGACAGGATCATTATTCTATATTTATATCACTCTTTCTTTCTTCCTCCAATTTTTAAATGTTATCCAACTTGCATCTACAAACAAAAAAATGCAGTGTGGATGCATGCTTGGTATTTTTCTCCCAAGTGTATATGCAGTTTATGATTTTGAAATAACAGAGAGAGAGAGAAGTGTATATATAAACCTGAATTTGGAATGAAGTATGGTGGAAGTGGATATAACATCTGTCCAATTGTGACTGTATTAATTTACATATTTGAGCAGAATCAGCCCCAGGAGGTGGGATTGTGTGTGTGTGCATGTGCAAAAGAAATGCATCATAAAGCTTTAGAAGTTGATAGTCTTAGATTAAGTTATTGACCTCCAGTTGGAGAAAGACACAGTCTCCAAAACAGATTAAATATTCTGAAAGGTTTAATTTTATAACTCTAGGAAAAATGTTTCATAAAAGCAGGCATCTTAAAGAAGCAAACATTGGAGTTTGTACTATTGAAATAGTTTGAACTGAATATTGGCGGTTTTTAACAAATGCAATTGCTCAAATCATTGCAATTTTCCTGTATACTATCATTACCCTGTCAGCACTAACACTACTGCAAATTTAATTCATGAAACATTAGCAAATATGGAGATACTTATTTAAAAGCAAATTAACATTTGACAAAGTGCTTAGAATGGTTAAGGTGCCTGTTGTGGCGTGCCTCTGCTACGGTACATAAATGATCATAGCTGGTCAAAATTTTGCCATACATGCCTGCGTACATCTTACTGACTTATTTACCTGTCTGGTAGAAGATATGGACCAGATTATACTCCTTCAAAGGAATTTCCAAGAAGTACATATAATCCAAGCTGCTTTGGAAGAATGCAATTTCAGAGATATTTCCTTCAGCCTTTTTGAATTACTGTGTGAAGGCATGTGCTCAGTTGTGAGAGGTTCTTCCCTTTTAGTATTGCTGCCTATGGGTCTGACTTCATTTCATGAAGCAATTTGACTGGTAAAATAACCATTTTCTCTGAGATGCTTTTATTATTATGTTATGCTTTTACACTAATCAGATAAAAAATGAAGATGAAGGAGCATCCGTAAGGTCTTTATGCTAGTATTTATTTGAGGCTGTACTGCTTTTCGCTGTGAAAAATAGCAGATACTGAAGTTTTTGCTCTGGAAAGACTAGGAAATGTTGTACTAATGCACAATGTTAAACTTCTATAAATTCAAGTGTCCTTTATGTTGGCAGTTTAAACTTGTGTTTACTGCTGCTGTAAATAGTTGCTTATATGGAATTCCATTTGTTACCGCTTTTACTGCTCTTGGTAGTTGTGTGGTAAAGATGTTCAGCTATTGGATCAGTTGATAAAAATCAGTAAACACTTTGATTATCCTCTGTTCTTCTTTCATGAAGTTTGATTAATTCCTTTTTCTCACCCAGTGAAAACACTGGCAGCCCTTTTTGGCATCTTTGTCATTATCTCTTTGACAGCTTGCCTTCCCGGTGCTTACAGTTCTAGGTCAGTTCGCATGGCTAGTCAAATGTGACAACATGACAAGATTAAGTAAAGCTGAGGTTCTGTGATTTGTAAATGGAGGATTTGCAATGTGAAGCTCCTTTGATAACAGCAATAGTGAATAATCTGTATTTGCCCTCAACAAGTGCGTGTGAGCATGTATGCATGTTCTGTACTGTTTTTTAAAGGAAGCAACCAGATTTTTTTCTCTGATAGACTGAAAATAGTACACATGAAAGCTGGTTTGTGTGTGTGTGCATGTATGTGTGGTTATATACATTAAATAAATGAGGATTAAGTTTTAATAACTTGAGATTATCATATTACATTTAAAATACTAAACAAAAAATGATTGTATACTACAGACCTTCACACACAAGCATAAAAGACTTCTTTCAAATTTAATAAACAAT